TCGTCCCCTGGAGAAAATGACCACAAGCTGAGGCTGTCCCTGAGTAGCGTTCACCTGAAGCCACCCTGTTGCCATCAACAGTGTGGCGGATTGAGGATCCGCTCTGGGCAGAATCCGGTGACGGCCATTGCAGGGGACTTGGAGCCTGGGACAGGGCTGGAGGGGACAGATCTCGGAGGGCTGCAGGGCAGCCGCCTTGCACCCGGGGTGGGGATGAGGCAGAAAGGGAGCTACCGACCACTCTGCTGTCGGAGACTGGGATCAGATCCTGACTCTTTAAAGTAAGGAACGGGGGCGTGGCAGGCTTTTACAAGAGTCCTTTGTCAGAGCCAAACACCCTGGAACCCTCTCCTATAATGGACAACCACAGGCCCCCAAAGAAACAAAGTAACTACCTTCCTCGTGAACACAGGGGCTCAATGTTGTGCCACAGCGCCCTCTGGTGTCAGCAGGTGGATGGCAGGAGTGTGGTGGGAGAGATGCTGGTCACCTTGGAAGGGGCTGGAAAGTAGGCTCTGTCCCCACAGGAAACAGGAGACAACTCAGAACAGGTGCCATGTGACAGGGCCTTGCAGCTCTGGCCCCTGAGACACAGCATCTGCGTGTCAGTCACTCTGTTGAGGGTGGAGCCGGAGGCAAGGTCGCCGTGCTTTTAGCAGGCCCTGGCTATTCGGGGAGCTGGAGGAGCCCCCACCAGGTAACGTGAGCAGTGCCACGGGGCCAGCTGGGCAAGGATGTGGTAGAGGAGGCACAGTGGTCCTGTGAACCCCCTCTTTTGCACCTGGTCCCCCATCCCACAGACGAGCTGCAGACAGGGTGTCAGGTGCAGTGCCGTGTGCAAACTCAGCACGAGGCCAGGCCTCCTGGGTGCAGGGTGCCCTTGGGCTGATGGAAGAGGGAGGAGGAAGACCAGGCACCAGGATTCAGGGAAGCTGACCCCAACCGCAGCTCTGCCACTCTCTGCCCCAAATCCTGTGTGTGTTGTGTGTTACCGCACCTCTCTGACCTGGGTCTTCATCGCTGCCAGGTGAGAACGGTGACGCATGGCTACACTGCTGTTGGGAGGATTAGATTCACGACATGTCAGAGCTGCTCCCCGGTAGGAGATGCTTAATTAGCATTTCCTCCATGGCAAATCCTCACGAACAGCAGAGGTTGGGGCAATGTGAATTAGCAGAAATGAGGTACTTTAGGCGAGTGATATTGTGGGATGGCCTTTTGGGACATGAATCCAATAGCAAACGGAAAGTGGACCCTTCGGGTCCACTGAGGACAAGCCTGCTGGGCCCCGTGCCCCAGAGTCCCCCCATCCTTACAGTGGGGACCTGTAGCCTCCACTGCTCCTTCTCATGCACAGGGCACAAGCGTGAGACGGTTGTTTCTAACACCATCTCCACAGCTGTGGGCTCCAGGGAAGGAAGCAAAGTCTCAGACCCCGAGGACAGGAGTCCTGCTTGCATGAGCTTTCCAGGGAAGGAAGCAGAGCCTCAGGCCCCGAGGACAGGAGTCCTGCTTGCACGAGCTTTCCAGGGAGAAGGGGATTGACTGGCGACCCAAGGAGGGGTTTAAGGAGCCCTAACCCAGCACTTCTCAATCTTGGAACAACCTGCAGCTCTCAGGTCACTGCTCTCAGGCCCAGACCCAGAGATTCTGATCTAACTGGTCTGGGTGCAGCCTGACAGCAGAAGGTTTAAAAGTCCCCAGGTCACTGTCTCGTGTAGCCAGAGGTGAGCATCCCTGCCTTAAGCCACAGCCTCAGTTGCTGGAAATCACAGCCTCATCTTCCCCCACGTGTGGTGGGGATGGTGGGTCCCTGCTCCCAGCAAGCCTGCTTCTCTGTGTCCTCTGTGACTGCACCCTTGGTCACAGTGACAGCTTCAGTCCAGAGACCCTGTCACCAGCAGCGTGTCCCCTGCTCTGCCTGTCTCCTGGACCTCACTGCTTCTCACTCCCAAACTCATCTGTCCCCAGTAGCCACCCATCTGGCTGAGCCTTGCTGACAAAAGCGCCATCACCTCCTCCCTTGAGGGGCTGCCAAGTGGCCAAGCGTGAGTCTGGACCCAGTGGTCACCTGTGAGGAAAGCCTGGCTCCGAGGGGCTATTCCCAAGGGGAGAGGAGGCTCTGGAGGAGTCTGGTGGAAACAAGTTTCCCCTGGATGAATGTGGGGCCATCTGCGACCCCTCTCTACATCCACAGCTGAGTCCAGAGCCCAGCTTGGGGCTGGCACCCACTGGGATGGATGGAGGAGTGAATGACAGGGTCTAGCTTCCGGGTTGGGTCCCAGACTCCCATCCTTTTTTCAGTTCCTAGATGTGTGACTTGTCACTTTGTTCCTCTGATAGGTCTCTCCAATCTGCACACCGCTCCACATTGCTGCTGCTTTTGCAGACCCAGTCCCAGCTCCTGCCTGCATTTTGTTGCTTTGTCATTGCTTTCAGGGCAGACTTGCCACCACGGGGTGACCCTGAAGGCTTTCCTTGACCAGCCCAGGCTGGGAGGGTAAGAGTGGGTGTGCGGGGTGGTGGTGAGAGGACTGGAAACCAGCAAGGGACGTCACGGGGGAGACAGGGGGTCAGCTCCTCTGACCCCTGGTAAGGCTCAGGGGCCCACCCTGCACCCCAGGGAGGCCGAGAGCATTGCACTGCAGCTGGTGGCGGCAGCTATGGGTCAGTCCTACGCGAGTCTCTTGCAGTTCTCCGACCTTCATTCTGGGGTCTGCCCTGTAGCTGCTGCCAGCTCAAGTCACACATCTGGAGTTAGGCTCGTCTTAGCTCTCCCCTCTTGGAGCAGGGGTCCTCAGCCTGGTTCCACGGGGCAAACCTTGGCATTGCCAGGGCAGTACACAGAAGCTCCCATTCCTACCGAGCCTGGCATAGAGGTCCCGGGTCTGGCTTCTCTCCTAATTTCTGGAAAATTCATTGCCTCCTTTGAACCCACCTCATCCCTTTGTTGCTTGTGAGCCCTTGGGATCACCTGTCAATCCTCTTCTCCCTGGAAAGCTCATGCAAGTAGGACTCCTGTCTTCGGGGCCCTGAGGGTTTGCTGCCCTCCCTAGAGCCTGCCCAGCCCACAGTTCCGGAGATGATGTCAGAAACCGAAACAGGCAGATTCCTGCATGCCTGGAGACAACCACCTTTGATTTCAAATCACAAGCACTGCCAATGACGATGCAGTTAGCATTCTCGTCTTTCTCCAGCCTCCATCCGGCCTACCCATGCGGAGGACACTGGGGAGACACACGCACTGCCCTGCGTCGCCTTTTCTGCCACCCCCCAACCTGTCTTCTCGACTCGAAGGGATCCAGTATTTGGATGAGCCGCTGGGAACACTGGCCCAACTGACACTTGCTTTGAAAAAGGTTCTTGATTCAGCTTGCCCTGGCATAAGGAAAGGCTGAGAAGCTGGTTTGTAAATGGCCAGAAAAATTCTACCTAGAGGGAGCTCTGCTGCTGCTAGTGTTTGGCTCACAGCTGTGTGCAGGGTTTTACCCATCAGTGCCTGTTTACCTTTTGCCCCAGCACTGAGCCGGCGGTCCTGCGATAAACCTCGCCCCCACCTTTCTTCACTCCCGCCTCAAATCCCCCCACCGCACACCTGTGCCAAGGTAAACAGAGCTTGAGATCTGCTGGGTGCCAAGCTCTGCCCCTTCATTTCTTCCATCCTTTCAGGTGCCTGGGCACATGGGGCCAATGTCTGAGCATCTTCTCCTGGCTTCACATCCTAGAGCTCGGAGGCCAGCCACGGGTGGCGCGTGTCCTCCCGCCCCAGCAGGAAGCTGCCACAGCCGGGACCTTAGCCAGGAAGAGCCCAGCAGTGACAGCAGAGCTGTGATAACTCCCCCCGGAGCTGGCCAGCTCCTCCACGTCAGCCACCGACAGGTCTGGGAAGGACAGGAGGCTACAGTAATAGAGTTGGGACCAGGACAGACCCAGCAGAGGAGAAGGGAGGCCAGGAAAGCCTGTGGTCCCCAGGATGGAGGAAAAGCAATCAGAACCGTTTGGTAGGAAGAGAAAGGAAATGGCAGGGGGGGAATGCCAAACAGGAAACTGAGGACAGACCCCAACGGCAGCTGAGTGCCGGACTAGAAAGATTTCACATGATCTCATCAGTCAAGGGGCGTTGGGGAAGGTTTCTTGTGCAGGAGCTCAGAGCCGGGCTTTGGGAAAGCACATCCAGCCTGAGGCTGCAGGTGGATGGGGGGCAGAGAGCTTGGGCCTTCAGACCTGTTGAGAAATGGTTACAAGAGTCCCAGGTAAGAGGTCCCAGAACCTGAGCTGCCGCAGCAGCTACAAGGACTAGAAGGAAGGAGAAAGGTGAGCACTGTCCTGCCGGCCCTTCGTCCGCCCTGCTGTCCTTTGCCCCTCGTTCCACCATGAGAATAGCATGAGCCCTGCTCTGAATTGTGTCCCCTCCCACTGGAGCGTGAGCTCCTCAAGGGCGGAGATTTTGATCTATATCTGTTCATTTATTTGCTTCCTGGAGCATAGTAGGCCTTCAATAAACATGCATTGAATGAACGAAGACTCAAGAAAAGAGTGTAGAATCAGTGGGACGTGGAGACTGCCCGAACAGGGCCCAGGAGGAGAGACAGCTGTCAAAGGTGCCCCATGGGTGTGCCCTGACAGGGGAGGGCTCGTGACAACTACAGTGGCCCCAGCCTGTCCCCAATAGCACGGCCACCGTATCTGTTGACCTGACCCCAGCCTGGGCGAGAAATCCCGGGAACCCTCTGCAAGCACATCCTCATCCGCACCCACGGCAAAGCAGCACGGCGGGAGTCACGCTGCCTGTTCCAGGGGAGAAAAATGAAAAGGGCCTGGGCTGGGCTGAACCCTGCCAGCAGTCGGGACAAATCACAACACGTCTGGCGTTACAGTGTGTGGTTATCATCACGAGGAATAATACTATCATTCGTGTTGTCAACGTGGGTGACAACAGCAATAGTAGCAGAAACGCCCATTCGCCGAGCACCCAGTGACTTGTACCAGGCAGAGCCGAGGCAGTTTAATCAGCATTACTTTATGCGACCCTCTCAACAGAGCTAAGAGCTGAGTATTCACATTTCCATTTTACAGATGAGGAGGTCAGAACCCAGAGGACAAAGGCGCCAGGCCCACCACTGCCCAGGCAGAACTCTGGTCACCACGCCCTACACCAGGAGCCTTGGGGGAAGGCGTAGTACAGTGTGCCTGGCACACAGTAGGTACCCGATTTCAGTTAGAACATGGCACCAACAGAAACATCCCAAGTCCCCAACAGTCATGGGTCTGCACCCTGGTGGGCAGTGGGGTCCAAGGATGACCCCCTGCCGAGGCTCTTCCCTGCCTGGGGCGTCTGCAGCTGGACGGGTCCCAGGACGACGTTCACCTTCCCCTGGTAGGAGCCCAGGTCCCTCTTGGACCTCACCACGCAGCCCCTGTAGCAGCGGGAAGAGTAGTCGTACGCCCTGCACACCACCATCTTACACTGCAGGTACACGGAGGGGAAGCGGTTCAGGAAGCGGAAGGCGTTGAATTGGAAGCGGCTGATGCGGGGAGACGGCTGGGCGAAGGAGTGGTAGGTTTCATCCTTCACGCACCTGGAAGGAGAGAGGAGCAGCCCGTCAGCTGTCATCAACACCCCGTCTTCTTCCTGACCCAGTGGCGCCGGGCGCGGAGCTCCACGGCCTGTCCTCGCTGCCCAGGCCTCCCCCACCCCACCTTGTTTGTGTCCGTGTGGAACCAACGCTCGCTGCTGAGTGTGCAGAAAAATCCTGGCCGCTCTGGTGTATCGCCGGCCTCTATAAGCAGCAAATCTCCCAGGGTTTTCAGGCTGACAAGCAGGCCCCACATGGCACAGTGGGTTGGGGCACAACCCATGAGGACAATGTGCTCAGTGGCCTGGGGAAGCCAGGCGAGCTGGGGAGTAGCTCCAGTCTGGATCCCAGGAGCAGGGCCCAGAGACAGGGCAGAGAAGACAATGACTTCTCTTCTCTTCCCTGATCTCGGGGCCAGCCAAGGTGACATGAGGCTGCACTCTGAGTACCTCGGTGGCCCTGCCCTTCCCGACCCTCCTCTCGCAGGACCTCTCTCTCCTGACCCACCCTCGCCCGCCCTGAGCCCCACGCAGCTGTACCTCCTACACTCGCCTGAGCACGCTCCAGGACCCCCTGCTCCAATACCAACCCCTCCTCGTTCCCTCGGCACCCAGACTCCGCTGGCGTTGGAGGGAAAGTAACCTAACAACACGCTTACAGGAATGCTACTGAGATGCGGATGAGGACGCACGTCCCCAAGGTCCTGCAGGTAAGGAAGCAGCTCATGCTGTCCACCTTAGTGGGCATTTAGGATTCTGAGAGATGTGGAAAGAGGAGGGCAAGGAAAGCCAGACCCCGGGGTTTTGGAGTGGGTGGGCAGGTCTGCAGGGCAGCCTGACTCTGCCTGGGGCCTCGCCCCAGCCTGCCCGCCCTCCTCCTTCTGCCTCCCCGAGCTTCCTTCCTCCACTTCGGACTCAGATTCTCTCCAATACTGAGATTTCTTTTTTTTTTTTTTCCCAAGCAGCTCCCTTAGCAGTGAAGGTTGGGGAGGAAAACACCACCCAGAGGCCAGGGATGAGGCATTTATAAAAAAGGTTGGGGTAACTCAGGAGCTGCCTGGGCAATAATTGCATTTCCCATCAAACCCTGCCAGGCACGGGCTCTGCGTGGGCCGGAGCGCTACAGTCTGGGCTGCACCTACCTCAGAATCACCTGGGGACATTTTTAAAAATACAAGATACTAAAGCCCCAGCAGGCCAAATAAAGAGAGTGTGTGGGCGGGGCCCGGGCAGGGTGTGTTTGAAGGCCCAGGTTATTCCAGTGGGCATCCAGGTGGGTGATCTGCTGATGGCCAGGTGTGGCCAATGAGTCCCTGTGCCATCAGGGCACACCCATCCCCCCTCCCCGCCCACAGCGTTATCACATATACAGGGCAGAATTTGACCAGAAAGAATCCTTTGGCAGGGAAGAACCGAATCACTCAATCCTTTGTGTCAATTTCAATCATTTCACACACATTCGAGTAGCCCCTGATGACTGTTTGTAGAAAGGGAATCTGGTTAAGCTTTCCTGCCCATCTCAGCTGCCAAGGGGGCTGCTGTGAATTGAACTAACTGCATAGACTGAGGCAAGATGAGCCTCAACACCTGTTCACTGAACTGACACATATTCAAACCGTGCCTAGAAAGAGATGTTTTTACATATCTCAGGGAGGTGTGAAATTTACCCCCATCCCTAGTTCTCTTGGGAGGCAGTGGCTACCGAGGCTACCAGAGTTGCACAGTACACACCCTGGTGTCTTAGGACATCGTCACGAGTGCAGAAGAGTGAAGCCCACCTCAGCACAGTGTGGCCATCCAGGGAACTGGACTATGGTACAGTGGCCTGGCCCGGGCACCATCTGACCCCTGCCTGGGAACCCCTGGCCTGACCTCTGCACGTCTTGAGCTTGACCGGAAGCATGGACTCCTAGAACTTTCACTCCTGGGTCAATGGAAGACACGAGGACTTCCTGCCACCCTTCCTGAATGTTCCTGTGGACCACCTGCTGCACCTGCACACCACCCCCTCCTTCTCACCCAACCCTCCCAGCGAACTTGTGACGTGGGCACCAACATCTCCAGTTGACGGCAAAGGATCTGGCCCAGAGAGGTGCATTTGCTGGCCCAGAGCCACACAGCTGGCATGTGACAGAGCTGGTGTTTCAACCTTGGTCTGCTCCAAATCACTGCTGTTCCTACTACACGCAGGGGTTTTTAAGCCTAAGGCTGGAGTTCGGTCACCTGGGGTCTAATCCCGGTTTATGGCTAACCTGCCGGGTGACCCCTGGTGAGTCGGTCCATTCTCCCCACAGGCTAACTAAAGGTGACACGTGATCAGCCTGCCCTTCTCATCAGGGCTGTGGTCCAGGACGCAGCGTGAAAGCACCTCAAAAGGTGAAAGCCACAGGACGTTAGTTCCTGTAGAAAGGGATCTGGTTACGCTTGGACTGCTAGGAACTGGGGTGAACCCAAATCTGCCTTCCCCAGCCTTCTGAGCTACTCCTGTTTGAGCTGTCAGATAAAGGTCTAAGTCTATCCCATGAAGACAGTGCTTACCCGCTCCGGATCAGATCGTAAGTCAGAGACGTGAAGTCATTGGAGTACGGAGATGCCACACAGGTGTCCACAAACAAGGCCAGTGAGGCATCGGAGTGGTGGATCTCAGCCTGCAGGTACAGATTCTGGTCCAGGTCCACATAGTATGGGCTACTGGTCACAGGATGTAAGAATGAGGGGGATGTATAAAAGGAAATGTTCACGTCGAAATTGCCGTACTGGACTTCCTCGACCTCGATGGTGTCATTAGTGATGTACATCGTGTTGACCCAGGTGTTCTGCAGCATCTTGCAGCTGACGTGAATGTGGAGGTCCTTCTTCCTTTTGATGACGCCACTTGAGACAGCTGCTTTGAGGAAGTTGAAATAGTTGATGGTGTCATTTTCTACCTGGGAGGGGCAAGCAGGAGAGCAGAGTCAGGCAATGTCACCTGCCAAGCGAATCCCACTGCTGATTTGGGTTGGAATGAGAGGCAAGTGACTCAACCAGACCCCCAAACCCTCCCAGAACCACATGGAGATGGCACATGTCCCCTCCATGGCTGCTATTCCCTGGGCTGGACGTCCAGCTCACCTAGCGCGACTCTGCTCCTTTCACACCTTCCCCTTCCTCTACCACGTGTGAGGGCCACAGCGTGGGCCAGTTGTTGGGGCCACCGGGAGGTCCTCCTCGTGGCAAGCAGGATGTGTCTGGGTGACCCCGCACCCTGCCTTGTAACTAGCTGTGTTTGGACCGCATGATTCAGGCCCTTCCTTCTTGTTCTGTTTCATTCTCACTGTTGCTGGGGGTACGGGGGGTGGGTCACATACTTCTGGGAGAGGGGCTTGGTGGGATCAGTCTTAATCGTTTTCTGTTTTGATCGACTGACTGGAAGCTATTGCAGCCTGGTGTCTGAAGCTGTGGGAGCTGGAAGCCACAGAGAGCTGGTGTTGACCTCTGGGACAAAGACTGCCCCAGAGGCTCATGTGGACAATTGGGTGGGCCATGGCAACACCAGGACAGTTCCTGTCCCATGCTGCTTTTTCACCTCCTTGTACCAAGGGACCATTTCCTACTGTGCCTTCCACTAAGCAGCAAAGTCATAAGAACGTTGGTCTCTCGTGCCTCTGGTGTGCCCTGGATGTCTTGAGGGAGACCTCTCCAGGGACGAGTCTTACCCCTGCGGGCCTGTGAGCACCTAAAGGAAAGGATGATGTCTAAACATCTCTTTCCCCAGGGCTTGGCACAGTGCCACAACACCATGAGTAGCACCTCTAAGTATCTGTGCAATAAATGAAAGGTATGGGGGCCGGTGGCCCGGCACAAGGGCAGTGATGAGTGGAGGACAGGGCCAGGAGCAATCTGTCCCACCAGCCAAGAGGATGCAAGTGAACAAGGCCCCCTGATGCTCCACGGTCGTGATCCCGCGGCCCCCAGGTGAGGTGAGCACACCCGAGCCATTTCCAGGCTGGAGACTGCCGGGAATTCTTCCCCTCCCAGCCCAGTACGGTGAGAATCCCAGGACACCACGCGTGCTTTTGCAAGAATGGGAATGAAAATAACACCACAGTGCCTAAATAGAAGTCCTTTGCCATTTTAGCCATGTACACTGTCAAAGGCAAAACTCCATTCGTGGCTGGTTGGGACATTAGACGGGGTCCCTTCTGAAGCCAGCACTTACACAACTCAAACATAATTATTCTCCAGAATGGAGTGCGTTGGAGAGTCTGCTACGTCTTGTCTGCAGTTGCAGAGCTCTTCTCTGGGTACATGCCCTCCAGACCAAACTTGTGAAAAGAAAAAAGCTTGACAAGAAACGTAAAGGGGTCTCTGCCGCCTCTCAGACTGTTCCCTCTCTCCGTTCTCTCGGTTCCCTTTTCCCAGACTGACCAGGAGCCTGGGCCTGTCATTTTGGCCGGCAGGGGACGCCAGAGCCCACACTCTGGGCCCAGCTCTGGCGAGAACCACAGGACTGGGCTCTATGTTCTCCACCTGCTCTTAGCACATTGTCTTTTCTGCCTGCAAATTTTCTTTAAATTTTTCTCTTGCTTTATATTTCAGCACCAACAGTTGTCATAATAAACTATGAGATTTTTGCACCTTCATATTCTTTCAAAGACAAGCTCGAGTGCTTTCCATTTCACTCTGCACGTGAACATGAACATTTTCATAGAATTCACACTTGTCTGTAGTGTCAATGGTTGAGCTACATTCTGAATCCACTCCAAACAGTGAATGTGGAGCGCAGATTTATTTCTTGGTCAGAAGAAGCGGTTCTAATTTTAGATGAAAATTCATAATTAGACATCTGTTCGGTTTGGAAGGAAGTCAACTTGGTATGCAATGGCTAGTCCTGCAGATAAGTCCACCGATATTTCCATGGAGATTTGGGCTCTTCCTGCCCTGGGATCCTTCTCACGGTGGGAGGATGTCATCTAACTCAGCCACACCAGTGAACATGGGTCACACACCCGCTAAACGGGGCAGCCTGGTGGAGGTGTGGAAAGCTCCAGCTATACGGGGCACACAGCCCTGCCTTTGTGTCCTGGCTTCACATTCATGACCCTGTGGTCTTGGGCAAGTGGTGTACCTTTTGTAAGCCTCCATTGCCTCGAGACTCAGTGGGAGTAAAGTTCTCCCGAGGATTTTAAAAGTCATGGAGAGCCCTTAGTTCAGTGCCTGGCATACATGCTAGCTGTTAATAATACTATGATAAAGTCTTAGGCACTCAGGTGGTGGGCGTGTGGCTATTTCCATAGATGGGGAGTTGAGAATGTGGTACATGCTGACCAAGACCAGCCAAGTTAGAAGAAACAGGTTTGGTGCATTGTTTGGCCCTTCGAATGGGGGTGAAGGACCATCAGTGGGGCTGCTCAGATGTCAGAGGCACCAGGGTGCATGTTTGGAGCAAGGAGCAATCACCACCTTCAGCGGACTGACTCCCACTGACCAAACTCACGACAAACCAGAACTCAACAGGATGAATTTACAGAGGGAAATAGGAAAGCCAGATTGAATAGAATGTTTGCGTGGCGTGAGCGATATGTGCTTGTCCCTGTGAGTCAATCTACCTGACCCGCTAAATTCACTAAGTTCCTCTCTGAAGCAGGCCTGGTGTATTAGGGTCTGGCTAAGCGGGCCAGTGATCACATGGCACCCACAGGCCCTCAGACACAGGCATGGTGGCCCATGGGCCCACCTGGGAGGCTAATGAGTATCCCCCTCCACGCTCAGTGTTTCCTGCATGCTGAAGACCAGGATGACTTTGGCAGATGGTGAACATCATGCTCTCGGCGCCTGGCCCAGTGCCCGGCAGGCGGCAAGTGCTCAATGTGTCTTTGGTGAATGAACGCGACATCTGAACATGTGTGTGCTGCACACCTCGTGCGCATTTGAGCTTTTCATGCTGTGTAGTTACTGCAGTCCTAAGCCAAATAAAAGCACTGGCTCTTTTTTGTCCTTGCCTGGCAAAATCTTGAAATAATTACTTAGGGGTCAGATGAAAATCCAGAACTTGGAACAGCTAATTTAAAATAAATTTACATAAAATTAAATGCACCCATGATAAACGTACCATCTGATGAGGCTTGACACTGGGATTGCCACCACAGCGAGCAGCAGGACAGCTCCGTGCCCAAGCAGCTCCCCCTGCCCCTCTGCCATCTATTGTTTCCAGCCTAATCATTACACGCTCGTTCTCCGTCTCTAAGTGGCAACGGCCATGGAATCGTGGAGGACACACTCTTCTGGGCCTGGCTTCCTTCGCTCAGCATAAAATTTTTGAGATTCTCAGATTCTACCACTTCCTGGCTGAGTGGCCCTGGGCAAACTGCTTGACCCCTGTCGGCTCAGTCTCCCCCATTTTCATAGTGGAGGTGACAATAAGAGAATACTTGATGAGAACTGGGGGAATATAACACAGACTAATCACAGCATCTGCCACTTGTAGGGTGACCAACTGTCCCAGTTTGTCTAGGAGTGAATGAGGGGTCTCCTGGGATGTGGGACTTGCTATGCCAAAATCTGCAAAGTGCCAGACAAACCAAGATGGTTAGTCACCCCAGATGGCGACAGCTCAACAAATGGTAGCTGCAGAGGCCAATTTACTGTAAGGCTAACAGGCTTAAGCTTTAGGGTCCCCCACCAAACCCAGTACACAGGCCTCCCCTAAGGCCTAACAATGTGTTTGCACCAAACACATTTTTGCCAAATTTATAAAAGTGAGATATATTTGCATTCTTTAGCCTAATGAGGCCCCAGGCCCTCTTACCCACCCCAACCCAAACCATGTAAGCTTTAGGCCCTACAAAACCTAGAGCTGCTCCTGGAGGCTGCTGCTGTTACTGCTGATGTGAGTGGCGGCTGCCAGGCACCCTCTCTGCTGGACACGGCTGGAGAGACTGCCTGCCAAGCTTCCTTCCTCCTCCGTCCTCCCACTGGGAAGTGGCTGCAGCGATATCATGGTACCGAGACTTATATCTTCCTGTACTCCAATTACGTTGTGATTATACCATCATCTTAACTTCTGGATCCCCGGGTTTCAAGAAGCACAGCACATGCCACCATAAGAAATCTTGCTCTATAGGAAACAGAGCGGGAAGTCCCAGGCTTACCTGCTTGACGGTGCCACAGCCCGAGTAGGGAATTGTGAATATCACCTTGCTCGGCATGATCTGGGGCTGACACTGCTGGTTCCCGTTCCAGTTGGAAATGACAAGGTCCCCGGCAGAATAGCCCAAGGATTGGAGGTAGTGCCTGCTCACGCTGGCTTCCATGTGATTTGGCAGACAAAGCAGGTCTGACGGACAAGGGCAGATAACGCACTCGGTCAGCGCTCCAAACCCCACCGGGCCTACTAGGCACTCTCCCCACTTACAGGTGCACAGATCGAGACGGCTGACAAAGATGGGACATATGCAAAAAAGAGACCTTGCCACATCCCCCAGGAAAGCCCAAGGAGGGCACGCAGACTCAGAATTTCTCTGACAGAGACTTGGAGGCAGGATTTTAAGTTCGGGGAATGTTTTGCCAAGTCACCATTTATCCATAAAGTAAAGTAACTCCAGTTACATTGTGGAGATGTCATGAAATAGGGCCTTTTAGCCATGGAGCAAGTCAATGCTTTGAATCCTGACTGCATATGAGACCTTGGACGTCACCTTGCACACCCTTGGCCAGTCTATGTATCAGTACATGTAATAACCCAATTGTGGCCATACAGCCTCTGTGGGTAGTGGCCGAGTGACCAGCTCAGTCCATCTTCAGATAGAAGCCAAGTGTGTTGGGTCTCAGGACATGGCCACGGTGTGCAGCACTGTGGGAAGATCACAAGGCTTCAGGCCAGGTGGTCCCTGCCTTTGGCACTGACTTCTCACTGTCTGCTGAGCGCATCATCTTGCACTTTCCGCTTAGCCTCTGCTGACCACAGTAAAGCCAATACACTGCCCACCAGCCCGCTCTGGCCCTTGACCTTGCTTCTGGGCAGCCAGAGTCCCCTGGCCCACAGCCCCTGCTCTTTTCAGCACGGACTCTAGCCTCGGTGGCCTGACAAGGCTCCTGTCATTTCTTATTTCACAACCACAGGACAGTTGAGCAGCAGCAGGCCCTCAGGATGTCCCCGCTCCTAACTGAGCATTCCCAAGAGGGGACTTACTGGTGCTGTCGTTGGAGGGGCTAGAGTAGTACTCGGCCTGGAACCCCCTCCTTGTGATGCTGCCATCGCTGATGAAGCGAATTGACATGAAATTTGAAGACGAAGTGAAGGAGCCATTGGACCCGTCGCAAACCCGAGCGATGAGAGGAGAGCTGTAGTGGGGGCCATCGAACACCTCAATGTAATCATAGTTGCAGCCACTTTCCAGCCTGCAGAGAGACGACACGCAGTTTGGGCTCCCTGTCATACCTGGAACTTGATGCAGGGCAGTCAGATCTCAGTGAGGGGGTCACGCCTCTGTCCAGAAACTCTAAGAAAGTTCACCCTTCAAAATAACAGATTTTCGTAAAGCAGGGGAGGTTCATCTCCCAAGGCCTCTGCACCTGGGTCTTAGTCCTGCCTTTTGGGGTCATGCATATGAAATCAGCAGCCCTGCTCCTGAAAGCCCTGTACATCATAAAACGAAGGGTTCACGTCCTAATTTAGACCATTTTTCTTCTATCAAAAACTCCCCAGTTCCCCCACAGAATATAAAATGTCATGGAGGGTGATGGTCATTGTTATCAAGGTACTGGTTAAAGAACCAATCACAGTCAACCTTTCCCATAGTATTTCATGAGCTTTATGTGCAGTCATTGTATTGTAATGACAAAGAGATTAAAATAATGTATCTTTCGCAAAATCCCAAATGGAGTATTAAGGCAAAGACTGTCAAGGCCACTGCGAACAGAAATCAAGAGGGAGAACTATTAACACTGTGTTCAGCGATGGCTGTCAGAGAGGAAATCATGGAACCCCTGGTCTAGGACACTACAAAATACTGGGGTGTCTTCACGGTCAGTTTGGCTGCCCCGCTCCTTGGATAACTCATGTATTAATGTGCTTTGGGGATGTCTCCTCCACTTAAAACAATGGTTTCCACTTGTGATTGGTTGTAGATAACCTCGCCTCTGCACCAGCAATTTCTCCACCTCTGCCTGACTCACGGGGACTCACGTGGAGAAAGGAGGAGTGGGGAGAAATGGGATCCACAAAACAGGTGCCGTGGTTAACAGAATCCTGTGCGTTTTTATCACTATCATCACTCCTAACAACCATCTCTTCCACTGCATAACATTTTCCAGGTATGTTCATGATATTTTTCTCTCTTGTGACCTGCTCAGTAATGAATGAGGTGAGGAAAGCAGGTATTTTTTTCCTCTCATTTGACTGAGGCTCAGGAACGTTGAGTGACTTTCTGTGGCCGCACAGCAAATTAGGGACATCCCTGGGACTTTAAACCTCCAAGGGCTGCCTCTGTGCTAGGTCAAAAACTGAACCCCTAATAAAAAGTGTCGCCTGGCAGACATCTCTCCTGATGCTCTAGGTACCATTTGCTCCCTCTTAAAATGTCAGTGAGGTCCACGACACATTCTGCTTTGCACCCACACACTTACTGGACGTTGCTGAAGATGACAGTCACACGGTAGTTGTATTTGACCTCGATGTCCCACGTACATCTGGCGTTGTTCGGATAGTTCCCAGGATAGAACGGGCTGGAAAACCTCCCCGACGGCTGGGACAGGAAGCCTCCGCAGGAATAATTGGCTGTCGTGACAAAGCGGAAACGCTGATGACCCCCAGAGCGCACTGCACAGTCACCGGGGTGGGGGGGATTTTTTCCACAATTCCCAAGACAGAAACCCAAGAAGAGGTGGCCTAGATGTGGACTGTCCCCGGGGGTCGGTGGGGAGGCCATGCTCAGGGAGGCCATCTCCTCATCGTCCTGTCGTCCCGCCACAGTGCCACTGAGGGAGAGGGAAAGGCATTCCCAGGCACCCCTGCCACAGACTCGTCAGGGAGCTCAGAACTTACTGTTTGGGTGGGTGATGTCAACAGCAGCTGTCGACAAAGAGAAAAGGTCACGATCAGTTTTCCGGCATCCTCGACCAAGTTCCCCACACTTGCTTGTCTGTGCAGGCAACCCTGGGGCTACAGGGAGGCAGGGGGCGCTGAGCCGGGTGGGCTGGGGGGCGAGATTGAGGGAGGCCGAGGGAGGGTGGGAGCCAGGAGGTTTGCTCCTGGCACAGGCCGCCTGGGGGAGAGGGGAGGTGATCTGGGGGCTACAGAGAGGTAGCAAGCGGAGCTCCAGGAGCGGGAACAGCACGTGCACAGGGACCCAGGCATGAGAGGTTTCGGAACCTCCGTGTGGATGGGGCAGGGAGGAGAGACAGAGCTCCAAGCGGACAAAAGGAGTGACCGTGGGGAACCCCAGGGGCATGCTGAGGGGGGACCTGCACTCAGGAGGCCCTGAGGAGTCACTTGAAGGGTGCTGAGGCCACGCTGACCTAACCGGCCCTGGCTGCACAGTGGAGAGTAGACGGGAGAGGAGGCCTGAAGCAGCTGCTGCTGCAGGAAGCCGGGAGGATGAGGAGGCAGAGGTGCAGGGGAGGACAGACCTGCAGGCCAGGAGGGTGCTGGGAACACTGGGAGCAGGCCATGAGGAGCAGCAGCCAACGCGCACCCCATCAGGCCCACACGGGCAAGGGGCTGGTGTTGGGGAAGCCAGGCTGGAGACCCGAACCTCAGGCGGGCCAGGCCACTGAAGGACAGAGAGAGGCCCAGCCCTGGGGACTGGGGACACCAGCTGCAGGGGATGCGGCGGGCTGGGAAGACACAGCAGGGAACTCCTTCGAGAGTGGGCAACACCCCCTGCGCAGTCCGGGCGACAGCTGCGGAGAGGCCTGGACACCCAGGAAGTGGAAGGAATCACAGATACTCACCAGATGTCAGGGGGTTTCCTGAAAAGAGACAGAAGAAAAGCAGAGGTTACCCAAGTGGGGCTGGGAGGAGTGGCCAGAACGAGGGAGAGACACCCCCAAGTGACTCACAGTCTGACCCCCGCTGGGGAGTGCCCCCCCGGCCCATTGAGTGGTGTCTGTCGAGAGCCTAAGTGGGCTTTCCTGCTGCTCCCTCAGCCCCATAATTATCTGGGGTCACAGCCACAGTCACAATGGCCATCACCTTCTACTTGCACAGAATTGTTCTAAAATCATCCCAACAGTCATTGGCAGCAGGTACTATCATGAGCAGCCCCACTGAAACGAGGAAACTGAAGCTTAGAAAAGTTAAATCATTGCTAAAGGTCATAAAGACACATGTCCAGCAGAAAGGCCATGGGTGCAGAAACTGGACAGAGATAAAGTGGCCCCCTGCATCGGTGTTCTGGAGTGAATGGGCCAAGGGGACAAGGTGACAAGTTTCTGCCTGCCCCAGCTCTAAAACTGAGCACAGACCTGGTTTGCCACTGGCCTGGAGCTTTCACTTTACAGTAGGTTACAGGTGAAATGGGGCTTCCATGACTTCATGCCATACCTGAGCAGATGACACTAGCATCTTCATGGTGGCCACAGTTATGGGAGAACCAGCCTCGATTCTGGCACTGCCAGAGGGTGGATTCTGTCCCTGAGCACACCACGTCGTCCAGGACGATGGGGTCAGAGCCAGAGCCAAAATAGGCATTTCCCGGGGCAGAGATTGCGTATCCACACTGCAGCTGTCTGCAGACCACCTGGGCAGCGTGAATGTTCCAGGAGTCATCACAAACCGTCCCCCACCTGCCACTGTGGTAAATTTCCACACGCCCGGAACATGCACCGTAGGAGGAGTTTGAACTGACCAATCTCAATCTGGCGTCTGAAAGACACATGCAGTAAAAGGTGATGGCCATGTCCCATAACACATCTCAAAGGCCCAGTAACCCCCAGGCCCTTCCCCACCCCCAAAGTCACCAAATGGAAATGTCCAAGCATGGGGTGCAGGCACTGGACTGCTCCATGCAGAGGGGAAGAGACTCCAGACATCACAGAGCTCGGACCCCCTCAGCTCCAGATGGGGAGGGACTGGCTGGACAGGGAGAGTTACCACGTCCCCCAGGAAGTTGGGATCAGCCCCAAGGCCAGGTGGGTCTCCTAGTCTGCACACCTGTCTGCCTTTGCCAAGGACCTACCCCTCCCAGGCTTACACAGTCGACTGTGAGAGAAAGAGAATGGACAACACATCACTGAAGCGCTTCTTTGCTTTTCCCCGGGAACCACGATGCACCCACGGAGGGGGCAACATAAATCCACTGAGCCTCACAGGCCAGGTCTGGGTTGCACTTACCTTCTGGAAAGGAGTTATACCAGGCAAAAAAGCCAGTGTTTTGGAAACTGATGTCACTTCGAAAACGAATCGTCATTCGGTTGTAAGAAGATGTGAATATTTGCGTAGTGTCATTGCAGATTTTCGCCAGCAAATTACTGCTATTCAATGATCCATCAAAGATCTCAACATAATCAAAACCGCAACTACTGTGTATCTCCAACCTGCATGAGAAAAAAATATATTAAAGTCAACATTGAAATTCCTAGTGCCTTATTTTATAGACAGTTTCGACTTTATGAGTGATGCTATTGAATATGGTTTTGTTTTGTTTTCCTTTTTTTTTTTTTTTTTTTTTGAGACAAGGTCTCATTCTGTTGCCTAGACTAGAGTACAGTGTTGTCATCATAGCTAACTGCAGCCTCAAACTCTCCAATTCCTGGGCTCAGCCCAAGTGATCCTCCTGCCTCAGCCTCCCGAGTAGCTGGGGCTACAGGTGCATGCCACCACACTCAGCTAATTGAATGTGTTTTTCTTCTATTAATAACTCTTCCTCAGTCAAATCAAATGGCTTCCCAATATTGCCTGATGCTTCCTGGTAGGCATCAAAGCAACCCAAAGCTTGTCCACAGCACCCAGGGACAGAAAGCCCCCCAGCCCAGGGCACGGCCTGAACCACTGGTGTGCTGGCGAGGCCTCATCCCCCCCAGGTGACCTGGCATTACTTACTGCAGTCTGTTGAAACCCAGGTTTATGCGATAACCATATTGCACTTCTATTTCCCAGACACAGTTAGCATTGTTGGGGTAGTATCCAGGGTAGAAGGGGCTGGTGAATGTCCCACTAGCATTGGTTAAGAAGCCACCACAATTTGAAGAGTGTCCTATAGAGGAGAGAGGGGGATACCTCCACTGAGGCAGATCTTCAGGCATTTCATGACAAGCAATCATCTTCTGGGCAAGAGTCCTCCCGGTGTCATCCTCTACACCTTATAACATGATTTACTTTTCCCCATAACTAAGCATCGCGGCTGGTTCTAGGCTGCCTGACATTAGCAGCCTTGATTTGAGCCTCTGCTTCCCCCTTTGAGCATGGACAGCAAGTCTCTGGCAGGAGGTGACCTAAGCTTCAGAGAGCATGTGTCACCTAGTAGCCAAAATGCCAAGAAAGCAACAAAGGGACTATTGTCATCATTCAGTCAACTACAGAGAGGGACGCGGGATAATGCCGGCTGAGCACAGGATTCTGCTACCTGACAAGTAGGGCAAAGTGGGGACAGGAGAAGCGTTTCTGCAACAGGAGGCCTGGGTTTGCCTCTTGGCTCTGCTCTATCAGCTCCGTGATCTTCAGCAAGTTACTTGACCTCTCTGCCTTGGTTTCCTCATAGGAAAAATGGGAGTGGTAACAGTGGCTGCCTCCTCAGACTCCTAGGGTATTAAATATGTATATATGCATAAAAGTGAGATACATCTATATGCATATATGAACTCCTGGACGGTGCCTGACACATAAAATCACCCAACAATATTAACTATTGTTACTGTCAGGGAGGGATAAATACTAAACATTAAATTTTTTGTTGGTTGGCTTATTACAATAAAGCTTTTAAAAACATTTGTACACTCGATGGTGATATAAATGAAAACTTGTCTTTTTTTCTTTTTCATAACTTTGTTTACTTCTTCTAAAGTATATAATTCAATGGTTTATAGTCTATAGAGCTCTGCAACCACCACTATAAGTCAATTCTGAAATATTTTCATCACCCCAAACCCATTAGTAGTCACTCTCCACTTCCCCTCAACACCCTCAGCCCCTGGCAACCACTGATCTACTTTTCTGTCTCTATAGATTTGCCTATTCTGGACATTTTATATAAATGGAATTGTATAGTAGGTAGTCTTTTTTGACTGACTTCTTTGAAAACATTTAGCATTCAAAGGTCATCCACGTTGTAGTATGAATCAGTATTAAATTCATTTCTATTGCCAAATGATATTCCATTGTGTGAATATATCATATTTGTTTATCCATTCACCATGACAAACATTTTTAAGTTGTTTTCACTTTTGGCTATTATGAATAACGCCGCTCTGAACATTCATGTACAAGTTTCCGTGTGGACATAGCTTTCATTTCTCCTGGGCATATGCCTAGGAGTATAATTGCTGGGTCATGTGGTGACTTTAGGTTTAACTTTCTAAGGACTGTTTTTTAAAGTGGCTGCACCATTTGACATTTCCACCAGCAACATATGAGGGTTCCAATTTCTCCACATCCTCACCAGTCTGACTTTTTGATTACAGCCAATCTACTGGGTGTGCAGTGGTGTCTCTTTATGGTTTTGATTTGCATCTCCCGATGGCTAATGATGTTGAGCATATTTTCATGTGATTGTTGGCCATTTGTGTATCTATTCAGAGCTTTTGCCCATTTTTCAATTGGGTTATTTAACTTTATGTTATTGACTAAAAAGAATTACTTATATATTCTACGTATATGTTCCTTATCAGATACATGATTTACAAATATTTTCTCCTATTTTGTGGGAAAAGTGTTTTTGGCCTCTAAAATGTGTGTACCTAGCAGTTCTATTTCTATACTGGGAAATAATTATGGATAAAGTCTAAGGTCTAGAGACAAGGATAAGAATTACAGATTTCTTAGAATAGAAACAGTTATAAAATAAAATATGTTATTGTATATAGTTAAGATTATAAAATATAATTAGAAACAATCTTCTTGCTCTAGAATTAGTAATTGTTTAACTAAATTATAGTACAATGGAAAATTGTATAGAAGTAATTTCAATGCCATTAAATGCTGATTTTTAAGGTCATGAAAAAAACAAACCAGTAAGAAGAATTCCTTAACATTGAGGGAGCAATCTGCAAAGTGTTCTTTGTGCCACAATGAAAATGGAAATTTCTTGGGCCAAATATGTTGGGAAACACTACACACTCTAGCCGTTAATGGCTATTAACAGTGCAAAGTGAAATGGCCAAGGCTCTGAGCAGTCCTGCACTACAAAAAAGAATTTAACTTGGTCCATCAAACATGTGACTACGGAATTGGAAAATTCCTTAGTCCCAATTTGTTATATATACTTTAGTGAAAATAGATGTTATAAAATGGAGTATAAAGCATGCTATACTGTGTGTGTGTGTGTGTGTGTGTGTGTGTGTGTGTGTGTGTAACATATGCCAAAATGCCAATAGTAATTACATACTTATTCTTGTAACAAACATTTCTTGAATGGCAGATGTAATGCTAGGTAATAAGGACGCATTACGAAAAAGGCAGATGTGGCCTCTGCCTGCAGGAAACACACAGTTTGGCAGGAAAGATAAGCATGATTTTTTGCAAATACCCTTCCAATTGCGTAATTCCTCAGCTTAAAACTTTTTAAGCAGCTCTCACTTCCCTTAGGATAAAGTCGAGAGTCTTAACCCACCCATGTTTCTACTGGCCCTCACCCAACACCCCTGCATGTACTCTTGCTCCACCCCTCCCTCCTCCAAAGAGCCACACTACCTCCCACCTCGAGACCTTCGAAACATTCCTTCTGGCTGGAAGACACTTCAGCAAATGAACCTGTTGCTCTTGTAAGTCCCAGCTTAAGAAACACTTCTGTGAAGAACTTCCTCTAGTAGCAACTATAATTCTGTAGTTAACTGTGTATTAAATATTTAATGCTCTGAGCTCTGAGTAGGAGATGAGTTGTCTTTTTCATCATTCTGTAATTTTACAACCACTCTTAATGATAGTTTGACCATACCCACGGCAAGATCTTAAAATACTTAACATAGTAAGAGTTAATATTTATCATGTGCATTCAACATGCCAGGCACTGTTTATTTTAGTTCACTAAATCTATTTCCATCCCAAAGACAAAAAGTGGTGAGATATGCAAAGATTTATCTATAAAAATATTCTTCATCACAGAATCGTTTATACTAATGAAGAAAATATAAACAACTTAAATGTCCAGCAACTGGAATCAGTTAAATAATTCATGGCTAGTTGTACAACAGAATACAATTTAGGTATTTAGAATAATGGTGAGAAAATAGTTAATGACACAGAAAAGTAGCCGTATCATTTTTTAAGAGCAGTGTAAATCTATTGAAACATACACGTATCATGAAATGAAAATTACATGGAAAAGCACGATTACTTGTGAAATTATCCATTTATTTGTCTCCCTTTTTCCTCTCAAAGCTGTGGAGATACTCCAAAAAGTAAAGGCCTTTAAGTATATTGTTTTAGGAATACTTAGCTCATTGATTCATGTGAACAGGAAATAGAACTCTTTAGTTCAAACAAAAGGCATCTTCCCAGCAGGAGAAATGTGAAGGATGTGAGTGAGCAGACTGGGTGTGGGGTAGAGGGGGAAGGTCCAAGGGTAGGTTGAGTGTGCACACTGTGGCGGGGGAGGACCACTTTGTGGATAGCCAAGCCTGGGGATAAAAATCCATGTCCTATGGTACAGGTGGAAACCATGACACTTACCCACAGTGGTTGCAGTTGTCGGGTGCCACCAATCTAGGAAGAAAGTGAAGCTGTTTTAGGACTTCACAGTCCAAATTCCAAATTGGAAAATTTGGAATTTTCCAATTCTGTAGTCACATGTTTGATGGACCAAGTTAAATTCTTTTTTGTAGTGCAGAACTGCTCAGAGCCTTGGCCATTTCACTTTGCACTGTTAATAGCCATTAACGGCTAGAGTGTGTAGTGTTTCCCAACATATTTGGCCCAAGAAATTTCCATTTTCATTGTGGCACAAAGAACACTTTGCAGATTGCTCCCTCAATGTGAAGGAATTCTTCTTACTGGTTTGTTTGTTTGTTTGTTTTTAAGACAGGGTTTCTCTGTTGCTCAGGCTAGAGGGCAATGGCACAATCGTAGCTCACCGTAGCCTCGAACTTCTGGTCTCAAGTGATCCTTCCCACTTCAGCCTGCTAAGTAGCTAGGACTACAGGTGTGTGTCGCCACACCCAGCTAATTTTTAAAAATTTTTTTTGTAGAGATGGAGTCTGGCTATGTTGCCCAGGCTGGTCTTGAACTCCCAGCTTCAAGCAATCCTCCCACCTAGGCCTCCCACACTACTAGGATTACAGGCATGAGCCATCGCACCTGGTCAGAATTCTTTATTAGACAAACACGTGTAGAAGTATTACTTGGCCACCTTTCTAAAATGAAGGTCACAGTTCTCCAGGGCTGATTTAGAAAATTATTTTCATCAGAAATGACGGGAGGACCAACGCCTCCTTCCCCCAGCAGCAGCTCTGCACAAGTACTATCGGCAGGTGATGGCCAAGGGGCCCTTCAAGGCTGAGCTACACGTGATGGGACCAGGAACTCAGCTTGTCACCTTAACCAATTCCAGAGTCCTCACAGAGAAATCCAGCCTCAGGAGGAACCTGCCCTACTCCTCCTACTTCTGGAAACAAGAGGAATACTGCCCGCTAGAGCAAAACGGACTCACCTGGAGTAGTCGGCTTTACTGAGGCTGCTGCAAGAAAAACAAGGAAACGTAAGTCGGTCTCGGCACCCGGGATGGTGACTGAGAGAAGTACCGAGGGTCTGTTCCCTCCTTATCACTGAGAACTCGCCGCGAGAGCTGTCCAGGAGAGCTGAATAGTAAGCATAACCTCAACGGCTAGTCTCAAAAAAAAGTACTGGGGGAATTCATTCTCACAACCCTAAAGTAGATAGAACCATGTTTTCAGTAGGGACCTACATATGGAAAAGCTAAGGCCCACCCATAGAAATTCAAAGACACCAAAAACATTTGGGGGTTGATATGTCCCTGTTAAGTTATCAGGAAAACTGCCCATTTCCAGAGAAGCTCAGGGGGAAAGGAGCCCTGTGAATATAGGAGCCTTTTTATGCAGAAAACCACACAGGAAAATAGAAGCCCAATGTCTTGCAGGCCCACCTGAGCAGATGACACCAGCATCTTCACTGTGCTGGCAGTTATGAGAGAGCCAGCCTCTGTGGGGGCAGCTCCACAGGTAGGACTCGTGCCCTGAGCAGCTCACGTCATCCAGGACAATGGGCCCTGAGCCCTGGCCAAACCGGGCACTTCCTGGGGCTGACGTGGCCCAGCCACAGCCCAGCTGCCTGCAGACCACGTTGGCGTCGTTTGTATCCCAGGCGTCGTCACACACGGTGCCCCAGGAGCCCTGGTACAGGACCTCCACCCGGCCCTGACACCGGTCACCTCCATTCACCAGCCTCAGGGCCAAACTGGCATCAGATCCTAGAGGGAGACAGGAAAACTCACTCCCTGATGTGTCTCCTGAAGAGACAGCTCCCCAGGGAACAGCAGAGTTTGAATTTCTTCCAGCAGGCCAAGGCCTCTGGGTCTCCAACAGCATAGCAGTTACTGACTGACTGAAGTCGGTGCATCGTAGCATGATTTTGAAGGGTTCCTTTCTAGCCCTGGCTGTGGACTGAGCTCTGCATGTTCTGTCACTGATTGAGCCCAGTGCCGAGGAACACGATGGCGGAGCCAGGTAACCACATGTGAGGAGAAGAGGGAGAGCCCTCAGCCTGGATCCCCAGTGGCAGCTGGGGTCTAGCTGTGCCCATGGGGCAGGTGACACCTCAGGTTCCAAGCTGCCCCCCAAGGAGCAGCCCTAGGACCTGGTTCTCTGACTTCACCTGCAGCAACTGACCCTGGCCCCAGGGAACATCCCATCAGACCCAAGCGTTGATCATATGTGACTTTCAAATCCAAATCTTCCCCGGAATCTGAAACAAAGCCTGGACCCCTGACAACAATGAGCTGTGGGGACACTGTGCAGAAGGATCTGTTACTGACACTTTCCTATGCAAACATAGAGGTGACCGAGGCCTGAGAGTGTAAGAAAAGAACAGATTTAGGCCTCCATGCTGGACAGTCACATGGCAGATGCACCACTGCACCAGCCACCGTGACCTCGGTGCTCACGTGGACCCTGCCCTTCTAACCTGTGAGCTGGCCTAAGTCACTGACCGCGGTCTGCTTCCTGTGGCCTTAAGGAATAGCGTCTATAAACCCAGGCCCCTGTTCTCCCAAGAACATATGCAAGTGGCCCACAAGCACATGGCAAGATGCTCAACATCATTAGCTTTGGGGAAATGCAACCCAGAATCACAAAGCCATGCCACCTCATGTCCCCTAGGGAGACCTTATGGAAAGACACATAATGCGGCGAGTGCTGGCGAGGATGTGGACACACCAGAGGCCTCAGGCAGCGCAGGAGGGAAGGTGAATGGTGCAGCTGCCGGGACACACGCTTCAGTGTCACTGACGCTAAGGGAAGGAAGCCAGACACAGAGGCCATGGTCCCATTTCATAGGAGATGTCCAGAACAGCGAAATCCATGTGGACAGAAAGCTGATTACGGGCTGCTGGGAACTGGGGAAAGTAGAATGGGGTGTGATGGGTGACGGGTGTGGTTGTTCAGTTTGGGATGATTTAAAAACAGGAACTAGATGGCCGGGATGGCTGCACGACACTGTGAATGTAACTAATCCACCAAGACTACACATTAAAATTGATAAGAGGATAAATTTTATGTTAGACACACATTTCACCACAATAATAAAGGGAAATACGATGAATGAGCACTCTACTAAACGCACCCAAACACAAACACACACACACAGAGGCAGATGCATGCAAATGATTTGTAATTTCAGATCAATAAGAAATGAAAATCTCTTTGAGGAGTAAAAAAAAAAAAACGGGCCCCCTAGATCCCTTTCTGGTCCTCGTCACCTGTCCTGCTTTCCTAAGGCTGATCTCTAGACATTCCCTAGGATTGTCTTCGTCCAGGTAAGAACACCTGCCCGGAGGACCATCTGCACCAAGGGAATGACAACCGCTCTGCTCTGAACCGCTGCAACCCATGAACTCTGTTTCTAAGCATCTTAAGTAAATCTAATGTTGCTACTAAAAAAAAGACAAAGAAAACAGAGGAAAAGCCCCCTTCTCTTTCCAACGATAGCTTGCCATTTCACACATTCCGAATTATAATCGTTATTTCTATGCCCACGGAAACGCTACATATTTAGAAATCATTTTCTCTAGTGTCTTTTTCTTACAAGCTGTCACAGGGATGGTGAAAACAACGCCCCTTCTGTGTTCTGCCACACGCACCCCCGAGTCTGCCCTCGTCTCCTGCTCCGTACGCTCATCCGTGCACGGAGCCCGTGCTGGACACCAGCTCTCTCCACCTGGGATGTCCCCATGCCAGTTAGAAAACCTTTGCCCCTCCTTCCACTCCCATGGACTGACTGACCCCTCTGACGACATCGCCCACACTCTGACACTGGGCCCGGAAACATCAGGGACCAAGGGAGCCACCCAGGCGTCCATGAGGTAACCGGTGACCAGAAGCACCACAGACATTTACTGCTTCTCAGCCTCCCCCAGGCACTACCTCAGCCTCTCCTGGAGGCAGATGGGGCCCTGCACAAGCCGGGGTGTTTCCAGGAGTGAGGGCCGGAGGCATCAGCCTGCACTGACATTGCCTTCAACACGAGGTCAGAGGGCACGGACATTAATTCTCAATAGTGATGTGAGCCCTAAAGGAGAAAGGGCCAAGCTCCTTGAACATGTGACCACTTTTCTGAACCAGAAGACATATCCACTGGGCCAGCGTCGCACTATGCGCTGCACACGGAGGTGGATGATGGGAAGGCAGAAGCCCTGTGGACCCTAATGTCTGTGACTGTCACTGGTGCAGTAGGGGGAGCACAGCATGCTCCACAGGATCTGCACGGATGAGAAGTCGGTTCTGCAGACTGGCAGGAAGGGCTGAGTGGGGGAAAGAGAAGGGGAATCTCAAGGAAGGACACCAGGGCTCACCTGGTTCGGCCGTGGACTGGGACTGGGACGGGCCTGTGGTGACAAGAGAAGGAGGGTTACACACAGCACTCGGGGCCTGAACTAGAACCAGAGGCGGAAGAGCCTCCGGACTCACACGCTGAACTTATGCTCATCTCGTGCGGACGGACACGTGCGTGCCCGAGCCCACCGTGCACCCCTGAGACCTTCACGGAGCCGCTGCCTACATTAGTACCCGTTGCTTCCACCCCTGAGCTTGAGGCTTCCGCAGCAGAAATACAAAGGCCACTGCTAAGCCCGGGACAGGCCACAAAGCCTCTGCATCAACACCAAGGACCACGAACAGCAACCCTGAGCAATGACTGGACGAAGACCCTCAGATTCCAGCCTCCATGGCGTAGTCCTGAGGCTGGATGGGAAAACCAGAACATCCATTCACGAATGGGCCCCAATGATCTTCCATGCCCACCTGAGCAGATGACACCAGCGTCCTCACTATGGGCACAGTTGTGGGACAGCCAGCCTCTGTGGGGGCAGCTCCACAGGTGGGACTCGTGCCCTGAGCAGCTCACGTCATCCAGGACAATGGGCCCTGAGCCCTGGCCAAACCGGGCACTTCCTGGGGCCGCCGTGGCCCAGCCACAGTCCAGCTGTCTGCAGACCACATTGGCGTCGTTTGTATCCCAGGCGTCGTCACACACGGTGCCCCAGGAGCCTCGGTACAGGACCTCCACCCGGCCCTGACACCGGTCACCTCCGTTCACCAGCCTCAGGGCCAAACCGGCATCAGATCCTAGAAAGACATGAAAACTCACTCTCACCAGTTCCCTAAGGGGACAGGTCCTCAGGTCACAGTGGGGTTCGGGTTTCTCCCAGCAGGCCAAGGCCCCTGGGTCTCCCATATATGTTCTTCAGCAGCGTGGCTGGTGCATCATCCTGTCATCTGAAGAGTTTGTTTCCAGCCCTGGCTGTGGACTCCGCTGTGCATGTTCTGTCACTGAGTGTGCCCAGTGCCAGCAACGCGATGGCTCAGCCAGGCCCCATGTGCAGGGGACAAGGCCAAAGCCCTCGGCCTGGATCCCTACTGACCCCAATGTGCCCATGGGAAAGGTGACAGGATAGACACATTCCCAGCTGTCCCCCAAGGAGCAGCCCTAGGACCTGGCTCTCTGACTCCACCGGCAGCAACTCACCCTGGCCCCAGGGAACATCCCATCAGACCTGAGGGTTGATCATATGTCACTTTCAAATCCAAATCTTCCCTGGAATCTGAAACAAAGCCTGGAACCACTGACAACAATGAGCTGTGGGGACACTGTGCAGAAGGATCTGTCACTAACACTTTCCTATGCAAATATAGAGGTGACCGAGGCCTGAGAGTGTAAGAAAAGAAGAAAATAACAGATTTAGGCCACCATGCTGGACAGTCACATGGCAGATGCACCACTGCACCAGCCACCGTGACCCTCGGTGCTCACGTGGACTCTGCCCTTCTAATCTGTGAGCTGGCCTAAGTCACTGACCGCAGTCTGCTTCCTGTGGCCTTAAGGAGTAGCGTTTATAAACCGAGGCCCCTGTTCTCCCATGAACATATGCAAGTGGCCCACAAGCACATGGCAAGATGCTCAACATCATTAGCTTTCGGCAAATGAAACCCAGAATCACGAAGCCATGCCACCTCACGTCCCCTGGGGAGAACGTATGGAAAGACACATAATGCAGCAAGTGCTGGCGAGGATGTGGACACACCAGAGCCCTAGGACAGCGCAGGAGGGAAGGTGAATCGTGCAGATGCCGGGACACACTTCAGTGTCACTGACACTAAGGGAAGGAAGCCAGACACAGAGGCCATGGTCCCATTTCATAGGAGATGTCCAGAACAGCGCAATCCATATGGACAGGAAGCAGATTAGGGGCTGCCGGGAACTGGGGAAAGTAGAATGGGGTGTGATGGGTGACGGTGTGGTTGTTCGGTTTGGGATGATTTAAAAACAGGAACTAGATGGCCGGGATGGCTGCACGACACTGTGAATGTAACTAATCCACCGAGAGTACACATTAAAATTGATAAGAGGATAAATTTTATGTTAGACTACATTTCACCACAATAATAAAGGGAAATATTATTAATCTTCACTCTACTAAACGGACACAAACACAAACACACACACACAGAGGCAAATGCATGCAAATGATTTGTAATTTCAGATCAATAAGAAATGAAAATCTCTTTGAGGAGTAAAAAAAAAAAAACGGGCCCTGGACAAGCAAATCATATCAGCCCATGTAATCCCCTCCTGGGGCACCTGTTCTCTGACTCAGAAAATTCTCTCCCTGCCTCCCCCGGCTTCCCTGGCTGCCAACACGTGCTCATTACCAGCCCTGGACCACCAGGCAAAGGGATGGCTGAGGGTTGTTTAGCTACTACCTCAGGCAGTTCTTCCCAGAGGCTGTGGTTTTCCTGATGTGGGTCTGGTCTAAGAAGTAGCAAAGTCCAAGTCTTGCAATGATCTCCCAGACGCGGGAAAAGCTCAGAGACTGCCTGTGTTCTCCTGTCCTGACTCACTGAGTCCAAGATCCTGGATGAGGGCAGGGCCACAGCCAGGAAGAGCGGGGACACGTGCCGTCCCTGAGGAAGACGGACAAGTGGCTCACAAGCACATAAAGGCCCTCTGAGTCCTCCACGGAATCTCCACTGACAGCTCAGACCCTGACCCGGGGCCTGCACCAGAGCAGAGAACCCACAGGGGCTGACACCCAGGGAGAGGGACAGTTCCCTCTGGCGGGGAGACAGGTACGGACACCCAGCAAGCAGCAGGGAAGATGGCAAGAAAGCAAAGCTCTCACTGGAGGATACGGTCTCTGTGTCAAATCTCCTGCCCTGCTTTTAACTGTAACGGAAATCGTCCTTCCCGTGAGAAAACGAGCATCCCACAAGGTTCAAGCAGGGCCTGGTGCCCACACTGTCCCCCTCTCCCCAGGGGGTGTGCAGGTGGCATATAACTAGCTGGGCCCTCAGAGCACACAGACGTGGGGCGGGAGAAAGCGCTCGTTGCCAAGCAGGCGGCCTTGTCCCCCAGAGGTCATGGCACACACTGACTCTTACTCCTTCAGGGATATAGGCTTGGGGCTGGCAACTGCTGGCCTTCTCCCCGTGTGTAGAAAGCAAGCTGACAGGGAAGCCCACACGGATCACAGGGCAGGGAGAAGAGAAGATGGGGGAGAGTAGACTCAGAACTGCTGGGTACAGCTGTGCCTGCAGCTCCAGATCCATCACTAAACATTCGAGATAAATCAGCCAATGAATTCTGTTCTAACCTAAGAGAGTTTGACTTGGGTTCCTGTCCCTTGCAAACAATAGCATCCTGACTAACTGATGCCCCCCTTACAGTACAATTCACAACCGGGGGGAAAGGGAACCCTCCTCGCTGAGGGAGCGGGTGAGCAGCCAGAGGCTTCACGCAAGACACAGGAAAGTCCCCGAGGCCTGCAGACCGCAGTGCTACGTGCTGATGCTTTGGCGGGGTGCAAAGAAACTTACCATGGGAAGGAGACGTTGTTGGCCACCAAGCTGCAGAGAAAGACACAGCAGGATTAGACAGGAAGGGGTTTGGAACCCAGGTGGGGACTAGTGACCCAGCACTGTGAGCAGGGACAGTGGACACAGAGACGCTCTGGGGCTGAGGAGAAAGAGGACTCTTATAGGGAGCCTGCAGTGAGCAAGGCCATGGCCTTCAATGTCCATGACAAGGGAAACAGGGGACACATTGCCCAAAGGACAATCAATTTCTCTCCTGACACACGGTTTGCCGGTAGAAGCATCACTCTCTTTGCCTGGGGTGCAGGAAAAGAAAAATCTCTGTTCTGCCCTGGCACGTGCCACTGGGGACAGAGGATGCTTTCCGGGACCTGTGTCCCAGGACAGAACCGCCTTCTCCCAACACAACTGCTGAGTGAGCGTCGTGCGGCACCCGCGTCAGGAGCCAGAAGGCTCACGTCCCCCCAACACACAAAGGATCATCTACGTGCCGTGAGCTCAGCTGCACCCACCACACTCGCTAAAGCATCACAGAATGTTCTGGGCAGCACGAAAAGTGCACAGTGACCTCATGCAGCTGCTGACCTGGGTATGGGGTGAGGAGCAGGGAAGGAGGAGACACCCGACTCTTGGGGATCAGCAGGACTCACCTGGTGTGGTTGTCGACTGTGGCAGGACAGCTGTGAGAAAGAGGAGGGCAGATCAGACACACTGCGCAGAAGGCGGCAAGACTAGGACAAACGTAGGGACACAGCTGGAAAATCACTCCGCCCACGCTTGTTCGCTGCCACGTAGGGTGGGGCCTTGTCATCCAAACCCATGCAAAGATGTCCCTTGGGAGTGGCCCAGGCAGCTCCTGCCCACTATTTCTAAATCAAGGTGATTAACTCTGTGTCCAGATGTACAGAGCAGCTTGAACCAAAACCAACCCTCTTCCTGCAGGCTTTAGCGGTTGAGGGAGTCAGGAAGTCTCAGGACGCCAGCGACAGGCCAGAATCACAGGAGTGGTCCTCCAGCCTCCGCCCCAGGCTGTACCAGGGCTCTGCCCAGCAGGCCCCGAGGGCCTGCCCTTCCCACAGCAGACTAGGCCCAGGGGCAACGCAGTGCGGCTCTGGGAGGGACTCAGCCCCTGAGGCCCAGGCAGGACGGGCACACACACCTGTCCGCATCCCGGCCCTGGTGCCTGGACTCTGACACCTCCTTACTGGGGCCCCAGCTGAGAGCCCCACACAGGGCAGAATCCTGCATCCCTGTGCCTGAGACTCCCCACTCACAGATACAAAGGCCACTGCTAGGGCCAAACAGGCCACAAGAGCTTCTGCATCACACCTGGGAGCAGCAACAGCAACCCTGAGCAATGACTGCACGAAGACACTCTATATCCACCCTCTAGGTCCGTGATCCTCAAGTTGGAGGCTAATTCCCGAGTACCCTCCACATCGTCGCCCTCTGGAACCCTCTGCCTACCTCCCTGGTGAGCACTCCGTTTGTTACCACCCTGCCATCCCGCCACCCTCAGCCCCTGTCCCTACGAAACTTCCTGGCTGTCCTGAGTGAGCTATT